TCCCATTTATATGAATTGTCTAGAATAGGCAAATCTATAGATAGAGACAGAAAGTAAATTAGTGGTTGCCTTGGGCTGCAGGGAGAAGGGAGTGACTGCTAACTGGCTCATGATTTTATTTTGAGGTGACAAAAATGTTCTCAACTTAGATAGTGGTGATAGTGGCACAACTTTGTGAATATACTAAAAATCTCTGAATAGTACACTTAATTTTAAAAAATTTTAAATTGACAATTTATATATTTGTGTAAGTTTGTGGAATACAGAGTGATGTTATAATTTATAAATACATGGCCAGGCTCGGTGGCTCACATCTGTAATCCCAGCACTTTGGGAGGCTGAGGCGGGCAGATCACTTGAGGTCAGAAGTTTAAGACCAGCCTGGCCAACATGGTGAAACCCTGTCTCTACTAAAAATACAAAAATTAGCTGGGTGTGGTGGCATATACCTGTAATCCCAGCTACTCAGGAGGCTGAGGCGAGAGAATCACTTGAGCCTGGAAGGCAGAGGTTGCAGTGAGCTGAGATTGCGCCGCTGCACTCTAGCTGGGTCAATAGAGCGAGACTCTTGTCTCGGAAAAAAAAAAAAAAAATTATAAATACAATGTGGAATAATTAAATCAAGCTAGTAACATATCGATCATCTCAAATACTTAACATTTTTTGTGGTGACTACACTTAAAAATTCACTCTCAGCAATTTTGAAATATACAATATTCTGTTATGAACAGTATTACCCATGCTGTACAATAGAACTCAAAGAAAAAAAAATTCCTCTTGTCTGAGATTTTGTACAGAATAGTACATTTTATTTATATTTTTAGAGATAGGGTCTTGCGCTGTCACCCAGACTGGAGTGCATTGCTGTGATCAGGGCTCACTGCAGCCTCAAACTCCTGGGCTTAAGCAATCCTCCTGCCTTAGCCTCCCAAGTAGCTGGGACTACAGGCACATGCCACCACGCCTGGCTAATTTATTTATTTATTTTTTGTGGAGATGGGTTCTCGCTGTGTTGCCTGGGCTGGTCTCAAATTCCTGGCCTCAAGAGATCCTCTGCCTCAGACTCCCAAAGTGCTGGGATTACAGGCATGAGCCACCATGCCCAACCTCAGAGTAGCACACTTTAAATGGATGAATTTTATGGTATGTGAGTTAGATCTCTGTAAAGTTGTTAAATAAAGAGTCAAGTGTACAGATGCATATGGCTGTAGATGCAATTTTTGAATGTGAGTGCTGGGATGTAGTAGCAGTGCTTCTCAAACTTTAATGTACATATGAATTACTTCAGTATTTTATTAAAATTCAGATTCTGACTCAGGAGGTCTGAGATGGAGTCTGCGATTTTCTGTTTCTTAACAAGCTCTCAGGGTACTCTTGGTGCTAGGCTGTAGACCACACTTAGCAAGGCAGTAGAAGATGTTTCTTCAATAAATGTGGTCTGTCTAAAGAGCCTTCTAGAGACCAGAAGGATTTGACCAGAGTTTTGCAGTAAGGCAGAATGTGGTTTGGTTAAAGAAAGGGCGTTAAGGAACGAAATGAGCAGCCTGCCTACAGATGCAGAGATCATAGAGTTTATGATATTTTGGGGGGACAGGAGACCTGTTTGTGGGCATACATTAGTGAATCGCTGAGTCTTTTGCACCTAAAAAAAATGTAGCAGTCAACTTCTCATCATTTTCCATCTTTGCAAAATTTTCTCTTCCTCTCTGCCTAGCATTTATTTTTGGTTTAACGTCTTTCAAATCTGGGCATGACTGGGGACCTTGTGAGATCTTAGTTGGGAGTGATTGGCTAGCATTAAGAAGCTGTAGGTCTTAGGAGTTAGATAAGGGCTCATGGATCAGTAAGTACCCTTACCTTGAGAGCCTTACCTAATTAGCCACCTGAGCTTTGGACAAGGTGCCTTCAGACTGGGTTAGTGCTTGGCCCCAAATGAATAAACTCCTTAATGAGAGAGCAAGTAAAGATGTCTTTCCAGATGGTACAGGTTAATTATAGCCATAGTTTATACCTTCCCTTATTTTTTTTTACTTGAGCCAGAAGACTGGTTTGGATGTAACTTAAATAACCTTTTTTGGTCAGGAGGCAAATATTAAAGCCAGATCATGTCTTACTCTTAACATTTATAGTACTCCATAAAGTGCTAATGATCCTCTAAGCCTCAAGTCTAGTCTCAGCCTTAGTGTTTGCCCTTCTGAGCTGCTTTCCCTGAGGCTCTGACAGCATTGCTGTCCTCTGCTTCACCAACATTCAATTATCTCTATCCTCTTCTAGTAGTTTTAAAATATGTCCACTTTCCCAGGAGGAAAGGCAGTGAAATCACTTGATCACCTTAAATATACTTTATTCACAGCTCTATAATGAAGTCAGAAGTCTTATTTCTCTATTTTCTAGATGGAGAAACTAAGCCATAGATAGTAGCATGCTTGGTCCATTATGTCAAAGAGAGGCACCTTCATGCCTGGCCCAGTATTCCAGATTTTCCTAGTTTCCCCCTCATTGGATTTGCTTCCTTGAACAGGTAGTTGCTTTGTTTTGTTACATAGTTTTTAACATGATTTCCCTAGTGTCAGATGAATACTCCTTTCCCAGATGCTTGTTAGTTATTTTTCAAGTGTTTGTTTACTCTATACAATTTAAGCATCTGCAGGTGAAGTGCTGGTTTGTCAGCATACTTGCTTCCCTTAATAAAGAGAATTTTCTTCAATTCCATAAGTACTCATTGAGTGCTTAATATGTGCTCAGCTCTGTGCTATTCTCCTTGAAAGACATAAATCAGTATAAAGTGTGTTTTGGCTCTGAGGGAACTAATAGGTTCATGGGATGGAAGCAAATAAACATATACAGGGCCAGGACGAGGGTGAGGGAAACAAGGTGCTGGGGTATAAACTTTAGAGAGCCATTCACTCTTAAGGTCATGCAAGTGCAGAATGGGTACCTGAGAGTGTGTGCTTCCTTAAATTTTGAGCCCCAGGTCTCTTGCTTGCCCTATCCTGGTGCTAGAGACAAGCAGTTAGACCACTTAGAAAGGATGTCTAAGACAACATGAGACTGAATGACTAACATAGAACAGTACTTCTCAAATTTAATGTACATATTGATCACCTGGAGTTCTTATTAAAAGGCAGATTGTGATTCAGTGGGTCTGGAGTGGTACCTGAGATGTTATGTTTCTATCAAGCACCCAGATGATACTGGTACTGCCAGTCCATGGGCCACACTTTGAGTAAAAAAGAGAAATATCCATGCTGGAGAAGGGCGGAGGACCAAATTCCGTAGGCTAGGGAATCAGGAAAGTTGCAGTTGGAGCTGGGTTCTTAAAGGATAACTAGGATGTGGATAACCAACAACAACAACAACAATGAAAAATAGGGAAGGGCATTATAAGCAGTGGGAAGGGTATGCAAAGACCCAGAGACAGAAATGGGTCCCACATGTCTTGGGACAATGAATAGACAGGCTTGGTAAGATGCAGGTCCAAATTGGAGAAGAAGAAGAAAAGAGTTTTGACATGTAGCTTGAAACCTGTGTGTGGATTGTTATCTAGAAGTGTGATTCATAATTGCCTGCTCAGGTACCTCCTATGTGTCCTCTCATAGTATCTGACCTCTATTCTTCTGGGAGATGAAGACCTGAGTCAGGGCACCTGAATAAATTCTGTGAGGCAGTGTGGATAGGAAAAGGAAGGAGGGATGTTGACTTCATTACCCAGATTGGTTAGGCAAAGTCCTGGTAAATTTATTTTTTGACTTAGCTGGGAGATGTAGAAGCTGGAAAGCCTGCCTTCAATAGTGATGGGCATTTCCAGTACACATACATAAAGGATGCCTGGTAAATATGTGCTTATTTGACTCAGTAGTAGAATGGAGTTCTACCTGTGTTATTATTTCAAATGTTCAACTTACGGTACTTTCCTGAAGTTACCAGAACAGTGGGTAAGAGGACCTTGAACATCTTAAGTACTAAAGGAATGGTTGTTGATTGATTTGAGTATTTCTAAGGCCTTGTCTCTCTTCTGTAGACCAGATCAAAGAACATTTTCAGCTCAATTCAGTATAAGAAGGCATTGAGTGACTTATGTACTGAGTACTTGGGTATGCTTGTGTATGACTGCAAGGAGGTAGAAGACTTGAGCCCTAAACTCAAAGAATATAGTATTACTCTAGAGCAGTGGTTTTCAATTAGGGGGATGCTATGGTGATGTACAGGACACCTTCCTCAACAGAGAATGAACCACCCCAAAATATCAGTAGTGCCACGGTTGAAAAACAAACTCTGAAAAGATAAGACTACCAAATAGAACCAGAACTTTGAGGTTGGATGGCTAGTGATATTATTAGTTGATAGCAGCAGGGCAAGAACTAAGTTCAGTTTGCCCGGGTCCAGTGTAGGCTAGTGGCTACCATAGGGCCATTTAGAGTCATAGGGTGTTATATTTAACTCTGTCTCCCACTAATCCTGATTGATACTTTTTGCTGTAGCTGCACTCAATTGCTTGTGTACTATGCAATTTTATTCCTTCCTGTCTATGTTAGTCCTTTTGCCTAGAACATATTTCTCTTATTTCTTCTGGATAATCCACATCTCCTCCATAAAGCCTTCCCTAGTCTAAAACACCCCAGTTTGGGTTAAAAGATTAAAAGGCAAGGCACCTCTTTATTCTATAGCTAGTCTTTATTATGTAATAGATATGTTTTCTGTTTATGTCTCTCTTTCTCACTAGGCTGTGAGCATCTTTGGAGTTAAGGATTCTCGTCTTCTTCTGCCCTTATTGCCTAGCACAGACGTGCAACACATTCAGTCATAGACATGAGCCAAACTAGGTGGTTAAAGAAGGGAGAGATCAGTGTGAAATAGAATGGTTGGTAAGGCTTCATAGAGATACTAAGACTTGAAGCTTCTCTAATTCCTTGAAGATACTGATAAATGTGTGAGCACCTTATATTGGCAGGCACAGTTTTAAGACAGTAACGGATTTTTCTGGTGGTGTCTTTCTACAGGTTGATATGTCAGATCTCTCTCCAGAGGAGCAATGGAGGTAAGTGTGGCGGTTCGGGCCTTGCAGTCTAGGAAGTGCAGGTTAACCCAGCTAAATGAGTGTTAGGTCTACCCATTTTGCTTTTCTGTCAGTAGGAGGCAGTGGCTCATGACCTGTAGGACTGGACTTTTGGGATCTCTCTAAGTACCTGGGTTGTTCTCTTAGTCTTGAATGTGTAAGTAGATGATTGGACCAAATCATCTATCTGGGTTTCAATACCATTTCTACAATTTACTAGCTATGTGATTTTTGAGCAAGTTACTTTACTTCTCACAACCTTACTTTGCCCCATTTGTAAAATGAGGATCATAACAATATCTATACCTCATAGAGTTGTGAGGATTAATATATGTGAAATTCTTAGAAGAGTGCCTGGCTTGTGGTAAGCTTCCAGTAAGTGTTAACTGCTTCGAAGATGATTATCATTAACATCATCATCATTATCCATGATACAGGATGGGGAGCTCTGGTTAAGAAAATGGGAGATGTATCTTCTGTTCTCAACTCTGCAACTAACTTGTTTTGTAAATAGAATGAGTCAACATATATCTTATAATGATTTCTCATCAGTAAAAGGGTTTCAGAGTGCCTGCCCCGTGAACTTCACAAGGTGACTAACCAGTGAGATGATATCAACCGTAGAATGTAGTAGAAAAAACCTATTGATTTTATTTAGATTTAACATAGAATGGCAAAAATACCTGTTCACATGACAAACCCAGTGTGATTTTAGGTGATTTTAAGCTCAGTATGCACCAGTTGTGTACCTCAGCTACCAAAATATTCTTAATAATTTAGAAGATGTTTGTAGAAATATACTATCTGCTGTAAGAGAGGTGGCAGTGCCACTGTGGTCTGCTCTGCTGAGGTCAAAAATATTTTGTTCTAAGCATGGCATATTATTAAAAAGATCTTTAACTGGATCATGTGTAGAAGACAACCCAGATTAATAGTCTTCATATCATGTGATAGGAATAGTGATTAAAAGATCTAGAACTGTTAGCCTCAAAGGGCACAGGAAAATAGTGGTAGGATAAGGATAGTTTTGTTTTGTTTAAATAACATCATGATAAATCTTTGAAGGGGTAGCATTGGGAAAGAAGAGCCCATATGCCCTTTGTTGTTATGGAGTATGGGATTAGGTCTAATGGACTGAAGCTATAAGAAGATAGATTTTTTTTGTCTCATTGTCAGAAATGTCTTTAATACTCAAGGTATATTGAGAGGTAATGAGCTTTCTGTCCCTAAAGCATTGGCATTTTATTCATTTATAAGCAAATATTAGTACCTGCCCAGGTGTGGTAGCTCCCACCTGTAATCCCAGCACTTTGGGAGGCCAAGGTAGAAGGATCCCTTGAACCCAGCAGTTCGAGGCTGCAGTTCGTCCAGCCTGGATGACAGAGCGAGACTCTCTCAAAAAAAAAAAGAATATATATATATGTACCTACAATGTGCCAGACACTGCTGGTTCTAAAATAGATTACCTTAAAAGGCATGTGTTCCCAGCCAGTGGAAGTATTCAAGCAAAGATTGCAAAAATGATTTTTGCATTGGGTGAGGACTTGAACTGGATGACTTCTCTGGTCTTTTCTAGATCATTCTTTGACTTCATTTTGTGCATATCCTTTCACGTATATGTTGTCTGAGAACAAGAAACCTATCTCTTGCTATCTTTATAACTCCTTATAGCCCTTAGGTGTTTTTAAGTGTACTCTAACCTCTTAGCCTACTCTCACAGCAACTCTTGAGGCAGGCAGAAAAAATATGGACTCCTTTTGACAGATGAAGAAATTGTGATGTACAGATATGAGGTTAATTGGCCATGGCCATATAGGTGGGTGTGAATCTAAGTTTCCAACTCCGAATCCTATTATCTTTCTGTCAGATTCTCCCACCCAGGGTAAAGTTTTATATCAGATGAACCCTTAGGTGCTGAGGGTTACCGACTGGCCTTTTTTTTCCCACTCTGCCCACCAAGTTTTCCCCCCTTACATTTTGTTACGAAAAACTTTAAATACGTAGAAGAGTTGAAAGACTTGTACAGTGAACACCTTTATACTTAACTACCTGGGTTCTACACTTAACTTTTTGTTATATTTGCTTTGTTGTTTATCTATAATTCATCCTTCCAGGTTATTTTTGCTGTTAATGTTTCACTGCCCGTGGAACTTCCATGAAGATACCATTTATGTTGTCGTTTTCCTCCCTCCTAAATATCCTGGTGTAATGGGAATTGTATAAAAGCTTATGACTCAAGTTACATTTGTATTTGATTTTATTATTTATTTAAAATTTCCCACACTATCTGATGTATTTGATTTTCTCTCTAATTCTTCTCTTCTATTTCTTTTTTTTTTTTTTTTGAGACGGAGTCTCATTCTGTCGCCTAGGGTGGAGTGCAGTGTTGCAATCTCGGCTGACTGCAACCTCCACCTCCCAGGTTCAAGCGATTCTCTTGCCTCAGCCTCCTGAGTAGCTGGGATCACAGGCATGCACCACCACACCCGGCTAATTTTTGTATTTTTGGTAGAGACGGGGTTTTGCCATGTTGGCCAGGATCATCGCGAACTCCTGACCTCAAGTGATCCTCCGGCCTCAGCCTCTCAAAGTGCTGGGATTACAGGTGTGAGCCACCACACCCGGCCTCTAATTCCTTCCTCATCCCTCTCCTTTGGATGACTGTGACCCAGAGTGGTAGTAGTGACTGTTCTTAGAGCAAGTTTTTAGCCAGTGTTGGCTGAGGGAATCACTTGCTGCCAGTCTTTAAGACCAGAGAATGCCAGCTGTAGATTAATAAAATGTTTCCAGCTGTACTCTCCAATTACTAAACTTCCTTGAACCTTTGAGGAGGCTGTTTACCTGTGGATACTGATGGTAAAGTCACTGTTGGATTAGTATAAAGGTGAAGCAGTCCAGATTTTTTAGGCTTTAACTAGTCTTAAGGATTTCTGACCCTGGCAGAGAGGATAGAATGAATAAAGCAAGACTTTAATCCTGGAATCAGCATACCTTTGCAGTGTTACTCCTTTACTGCTGTCATAAATATCAGTGACTGAGAGTATGAGACTTTATGGCTATAACCTCTTTGGGTTACTTTCTCGTTCCAGCGTCAGGTTGAAATAGGCTTGAAATAGGCAATGATGTGGGTTTCTCCTGGGACCTCCTTCATGTTACGGGAAAGATGTCAGCTGTTTCTGCCATGGGGGCAGGCAGCAGACCACTTAGCTCTAATTCCAATATCTAGGCTTGGTTGCTGGGGTCCGTAGAGCCTGTATTTTATCTCCACATGCCTGTCTGTTAGGGTGTGTGTCCTAGCCCCTAATTTGTGTGGTACCCTGTGGCTGTGAAGCAGGGAATGTGTTCTGAGCTTTGTACTGGTGGGATATCCCTGGAAAGCACTGTCCCTTTATCACTGCAGCATCCCTGACTTGATTCACCCCATGTGTTTGGCTTTCAGGGTCGAGCATGCACGCATGCATGCCAAGCACCGTGGCCACGAAGCTATGCATGCTGAAATGGTCCTCATCCTCATCGCTACCTTGGTGGTGGCCCAGCTGCTCCTGGTGCAGTGGAAACAGAGGCACCCACGCTCCTACAATGTAAGCCACTTTCCTTCTTCTTTGTCAGTCATCAAGAGACCCTTCCTAAGTATTCTAGGGCCCAGCCTAACCCAGGCCACATGGAGGCAGAGAAAGACAATAACAATGAACTTTATGTATGAATGATGAATAGTGTATTGGAGAGTGTGTGTGTCTAAGGGTCAGGTGATTCAGAGGGTGAAAAGGATAGAACATAAGACTACGTTCATAGGCAGAAAAGACAGGTCTTCCCTTCGAAACATTGTGGGACAGATTCATGAAGGAGATAATCATCAGAAACTATTAAATTGAAGAGAGCAAAGATCACTTGACTGGGAAAACTAAGCCTCTCATGAATCTTACAGGATCTAGATTACACTAATCTAAATTTTTTTTAAAAAGGGCCCGGTGTGATGGCTCATGTTTGTAATCCTAGTACTTTGGGAGACTGAGGTGAGCAGATGGCTTCAGCTCAGGAGTTCAAGACTAGCCTGGGCAACATGCCAAAACCCTGTATCTACAAAAAATACAGAAATTAGCCGAGCGTGGTGGCCTGCGCCTGTAGTCTCAGCTACTGGGGAAGCTGAGAGGTGGGAAGATTCCTTGAGCCTGGGAGGTCAAGGCTGCAGTGAGTTGTGATCGTGCCATTGCACTTCAGCCTGGGAGACAGAGCAAGACCTTGTCTCAAAAAAAAAAAAAGAGAAAAAGAAAAAACAGTAATGGATGAAATGGGGGTGGGGGGAATGACATACAGAAAACAAAATAGCAAAATGACAGAAGTTAATTCTTCCTTATCAGTAATCACTTTAAATATAAATGGATTAAATTCTTCCATTAGAAGACAGAGATTGGCAGATTGGTTTTAAAAATCCCCTCATGGCCGGGCGCGGTGGCTCAAGCCTGTAATCCCAGCACTTTGGGAGGCCGAGGTGGGTGGATCACGAGGTCAGGAGATCGAGACTATCCTGGCTAACATGGTGAAACCCCGTCTCTACTAAAAATACAAAAAACTAGCCGGGTGTGGTGACGGGCGCCTGTAGTCTCAGCTACTTGGGAGGCTGAGGCGGGAGAATGGCGTGAACCCGGGAGGCGGAGCTTGCAGTGAGCCGAGATCAGGCCACTGCACTCCAGCCTGGGAGCACAGCGAGACTCCGTCTCAAAAAAAAAAAAAAAAAAAAAACATAAAAATCCCCTCATTTATCGATATGCTGTCTATAGTAAATTCACTTTAGGTGGAAAGACACAAGCCAGGAGTGGTGGCACACACCTGTAATCTCACCTATTGGGGAGGCTGAGGTGGGAGAATTGCTTGAGCCAGGGGGTGCAGTAAACTCATAAATGAGTGAAAGCCCCCTTGGCATTTCTGGGCTTATATGTAGAAATATTTTAAATTATATAATTTTGGCTAATCTGCAAATATTTTTACAACCTATTCTGAAGAAAGTGAGTATGCATATATGCACTGCAGTAATTTTCAATAAGAACTTTTTCCTTAAGTGTGGGATCCTTTCTTTAAACATTATCTTAAGGAAAAACTCAATCTGGAAAACAGTTAAGAGGCTGCTCTGCTTGATATGAGGTTTGGGTAACCCTAACACCCTTGCTTCCCCCTCTGAAATCTCTAGGACTCATCATAGCACTGTTAGAAAACCACTGATGTGTTATTCACTAGTTAATTCTTAACAGGAAACGTGTCTGTGACTTAATGAGGCCTGTTGTACTGGGAATGTGCAGTTTTCTCATTACTGCCACATCCTGTAAACATAATGCTAAATTTTATTGGTGAGAGGATATGCTAACATGATAGCACATCTTACACTGAGAAACTTAAACTCATATCTTTAGAAAATAAGAAAAGAAATCTACCTAGGAGTGGAATTCCTAAGTCATGTGATAACTCTGTGTTTAATGTTTTGAGGAACTGCCGAACTGTTTTCCACAGAAGCTGTATAATTTTCCATTCTAACCTAAAGTGGATTGGGTTTTTCATTCCTCCACAGTCTCATCAAGACTTCTTTCACTCCATTTTTTTAAAAAAATGTTATTTATTATAGCTGCTTTAGTGGATGTGGATGTCATTGTGGTGTTGATTTGTATTTCCCTAATGACTAATGATGTTGGGCATCTTTTCATGTGCTTATTGGTCATTTGTATATTTTCCTTAGAGAAATGTTCGTTTAAGTCTTTGCCCAATTTTTGGTTGAATTTTTTGTCTTTTTGTTGGGTTGTTAGAGTATTTTATATAATCTGGATAATAGACCATTATCAGATATATGATTTTCAAATATTTCCTCACATTTTATTGGTTGTCTTGTCACTTTACTGGTAGTGTCCTTTGATGCATAAACAGTTTTAAATTTTGATGAAGTCCAGTATATCTATTTTTTTCTTTTATTACTTGTGCTTTTAGTGTCATATCTGAGAATCCATTGCCAAATCCAAGGTCGTGGAGAGTTACCCCTATGTTTTCTTTGAAGAGTTTTATAGTCTTGGCCAGGTGCGGTGGCTCACGCCTGTAATTCCAGCACTTTGGGATGCCGAGGTGGGCGGATCACAAGGTCAGGAGTTTGAGACCAGCCTGGCCAACATGGTGAAACCCCGTCTCTAATAAAAATACAAAAATAGCTGGGCATGGTGGCACATGCCTCTAATCCCAGCTACTCGGAAGGCTGAGGCTTGAACCAGGGAGTCAGAGCTTGCAGTGAGCCAAGATCACACTACTGCACTCCAGCCTGATGACAGAGCAAGACTCTTTCACCTCCCGGACTGCAAAAAAAAAAAAAAAAGAGTTTTATAGTCTTAGCTCTTACGTTTGGATTTTTGGTCCATTTTGAGTTTTTGTAAATGGTGTGAGATAAGGATCTAAGTTCGTTCTTTTGCATATGGATAGCCAGTTGTCCCAGCATCATTTATTGAAGAGATTTCTTTTTCCATTGGATGGTCATGGCACTCTTGTCAAAAATCAGCTGATCAAAGATTACGTTGGTTTATTTTTGTACTCTCAATTTTATTCCGTTGATCTATATGTCTGTTCTTTTGCAGGTACCACATTGTTATGATTACTGTAGCATTGTAGTAAGTTCTGAAATTGGAAAGTATGTTCCTCAACTTTGTTCTTCTTTTTCAAGATTATTTCAGCTATTCTGACTCCCTTGCAATTCCTTATTAATTTTAATATCAACGTTTCCATTTTACAAACAAAAGCAGTTGGAATTTTGATAAGGATTGGATTGATTTCTCTAGATTGGGGAAATGTTTCCATCTTAACAATATTAATCTTCCAGTACATGAACACAGGGTATCTTTTCATTTATTTGGGTCTTTAATCTCTTTCATCAATGTTTTGTAATTTTCAGTGTACAAGTCTTGCACCTCCTTTGTTAAACTTAGATTCCTAAGTATTTTATTCTTTTTGATGCCATTGTTAATGGAATTTTTAAAAATTTCCTTTTCGAATTATTCATTGCTAATATATAGAACTTCAACTGATCGTTTTCTGTTAATCTTCCAACTTTGCTGAATTTATTAGCTCTAATAGTTTTTAAAGTATTTTTTAAGGATTTTTTATATGTAAAATTGGTCATCTGAAAGTAGAGAGAGTTTCACTTCTTCCTTTCCAGTTGGATACTTTGTTTTTTCCTGAGACAAGGTCTTATTCTGATTGCCCATCCTGGAATGCAGTAGTGCAGTTTGGCGATTTTGGCTCACTGCAGCCTCGACTTCCTCAGGCTCAGGTGATCCTCCCACCTCAGCTTTCCAAGTAACTGGGGCTACAGGTGCGTGCCACACCACCAGGCTAATTTTTTGTATTTTTGGTGGAGAGAGGGTTTCGCCAGGTTGCCCAGGCTGGTCTCGCTCTCCTGAACTCAAGCAATCCATCTGCCTTGGCCTCCCAAAGTGTTGGGATTACAGGCGTGAGCCACCGTGCCTGGTCTTCCTATTATAAGCTGCATTTTACTAGGAGTTAGCAACCTCCTGTCAGGAATGTTGTGGAGGGGATGTTTGTGATTTTTTATGGAATGGTTGACTGGACATCTTGAAGTCCTCCCAGTTAGCTCTGAAATCTGTATCAAATTGAATTACCCATAAGAGGTGAAGGCCTGTCTTCTTGTTAGAGGATGAAGCAGACCTGCCTAGAGACAGGATGAGGTTTTCATTTTGCAAAAGTTATGTATATTTGTTATAAAAAATTTGAATAATGTAACAGTATGTGACATAGAAATCAAAAGTGTCCAGAGGGAACCACTGTTAATCAATTTGTTATAGATAGAAAAAATCTGCAAGTGTATGTTTATTAATTTTTAGATGTTTATGACATCCATTAGGTTCTGCAGCATTTTCCACCTAATACTCTCGCAAATATCTATCCATATTGGTGTGTATATCATCCTCTTAAACTAATGACTGCATAGTAATTTTGGTTTTTTTTTTGAGACAGGGTCTCTGTTGCCCAGGCTGGAGTACAGTGGTGTGATCTTGGCTCACTGCAATGTCTGCCTCCTGGGCTCAAGGGATCCTCCTACTTCAGCCTTTTAAGTAGTTGGAACTACAGGTGTGAGCCACCACACCCAGCTCATTTTTGTATTTTTTGTAGAGACGGGTTTTACTATGTTGCCCAGGCTGGTCAGGAGCTCCTGGGCTCAAGTGATCCACCCCCTCGGCCTCCCAAAGTGCTGGGATTACAGGAGTGAGCCACCACGCCCGGCCTGCATAGTATTTTGGAAAATAGATCTAAAATAAAATTTAACTTACCTTTATCGATTGACTTGGTAATTAACAGTTTATCACAGTTACAAGCAACAATTTAGTAAGCTTCTCATACATAAATTACCTGCATACCTGTGCAAGCAATTTTATAGAATACACTTCTAGAAATGAAATTGCCTCGTCAAAAAATGTATGTGTTTTAATTATTAATGGAACTTGCCAAATTGCCCTCCAAAAAAGTTATAGCTGTTATAGTTTACAGTCCATCAACACAGATTTAACAGAGCTGTTACCCAATGTTAAAGAAGGTGTAG